TCTCGTTACTGATAACACGGCAGCAAACAGATATCTTGTTCAATGGTACATTGCTATTTGTCTTATCATTTAAATAACATATTGGCTTTTAAGAGGCAGTTAAGAATGGCTTAATGACTTTCAAGTTATAATGCGCTAAGTGGATATAACGCCTTCCGGGTAGGATGTTCAGATGATAATTATATATATAAGATGTTTAGTTAGGTAAAGAAACTTTTGAAGGGGTTGTCCTACAAAATACATGGCATTCTAAACGTAGGCATGTAGTAGAAGGAACCTCAACTTCAAGAAGGCTTTTTATTCGACTGCAGAGAAGAGAAATATCCCGACTCCTATCTTCTTAGTTCCGGATACTGACCTCGTGTTTGCCAGCTGTGTACTGTGTTGGGTAAACAATAAACAAATAAACAACTCTACTATCATCCCTATATAGTCGTAATGGCTTGGCACTTTCTTCTGATAATTCCCTCTTTCTACTATCATCCTGTAATTTTAAAATTATTTAATGCATTAACAAATGGCATCCCTCCCATAAATAATAATATATAATCATCATAATAATTCATTGTGTCGAGGGACAGCAAGCCAGAGTGTATTTATATACGTTAGGCTTATGTCGAGGAGAATACATCCCAAAATTAGGCTTATATTCAACCCTAGGAGCATCTTGAACTTGCACAGTGACCAATACTACTCGAATATCGGTGAATCTTTTCCATCTCAAATCAACCTTGAGGACGAAGGATCATCAACAAGAGGGCCGTATGATGTGAGGACGAGGAAGTCCGCTACATGAAATCAAAAGGTAGCAGGAAACTTTAAGTTTACTTACGCTAATAAACACATAAACCGAAACCGCGTTACGTTAATTGTCGATTAGCTTAACTGATGAGGATTAAGCCACCCAAGAGGTGGCTCGGGCATGAATAGCCCCTATGTTAATTTATCAATAAAACAACTCAAAGTAGACAAATGTGAAATAAGTAATTAGTTGACAAAGAACTCTACCTGTATATACTCACACACAGTATCCTACACTCGACACTGCTGGGAGTGACACTTAGCAAATGCTCTCTCCGGTCACACGATATCACGGGAGTCCGGAATCCAGGGACCTGAGAACATATCGCGAGTCCCGGTAGCCAAACTTGATATACAATAGTGCGGTATACTGGCAATCGTTGTCACTCCTTATACAAGATGGTCCTCTTGGAGGTGTTCTCTAGCTGCTTGCTGGCCCTGAGTTACGTTGGTTGTGTTCTCTAGCTGCTTGCTGGCCCTGAGTTACGTTGGTTGTGTTCTCTAGCTGCTTGCTGGCCCTGAGTTACGTTGGCTGTGTTCTCTAGCTGCTTGTTGGCCCTGAGTTACGTTGGTTGTGTTCTCGAGCTGCTTGCTGGCCCTGAGTTACGTTGGTTGTGTTCTCTAGCTGCTTGCTGGTCCTGAGTTACGTTGGGGGTGTTCTCTAGCTGCTTGTTGGTACTGAGTTACGATGGCTGTGTTCTCTAGCTGCTTGCTGGTCCTGAGTTACGTTGGCTGTGTTCTCTAGCTGCTTGTTGGCCCTGAGTTACGTTGACTGTGTCCTCTAGCTGCTTGCTGGTCCTGAGTTACGTTCATGACAATATTGTACATGCTGGCAGGTCAGTCAGTTATTGTGATGGTCTTAACAACCTTCCTACGGTTGATTGGCCTTAAGCCCACAACCACCGAGCCATTTAGTAACCTTGCGAGTTATTTAAGCCGCTTTCTGAGGACTACTATCCCGCCGACACCTCTGCT